GCACCTGAGCTATGAGAGTTGCCTGGGCACATTACACCCACCCGCTGGTGCCCCTTGATGCCAGAGCCACCCTCACAGAGCCTGTAAGACAGGAGGTGGCAGAGAATGGGGGCCCCCAGGAGAGCCATGGAGCCCCCAGGACTGCGGTGGCCTCCAGAGCTGGGTTCCCACCCAAGAGCTACCTGGCTGGGCGAACTGTGAGGGGTCGTGTGCCCGTCCCAGGTGCCAGCGGCCTGATGACACCAAGCGCAGTGCCCGGAGCAGCAGCATTTGTGTAGCATCTACAAGATGGTTAGAAATGCAGAAACCTGGGATGCCACACTGAATGCAGGCCTGCTTGTCAGCAGCGCCCGCCCTGGAGAAGAGTGAGCAGTCAGGGCTGAGAAGCGCTGGCAGAAGGCACAGGCCAGAGCCCAGCCTACGCAGGCCCAGGCCGCCTATGAATGCAGACAGCCCCCACGGCCCGTGACACACTCATGAGTACACATATGTGCCTCCTGCCCCCGCAGAGACACACCACGCTCTGCTCCACCACCACCCTCACACATTTCACACATGCACAGAAGCACGCGCTGCGGGCTGCCCACACACAGCACACACTCCTCATGTACCTGCGCACCTCCTGTGCTCCACTCCCGGACGTCCCGCCCATGCAGGGATTTCTGGCAGCTGAGAAAGATGGCTGGAGGCTCCTTTCACATGCATTCGTTCATTCATCAATTGTTTACTAGCCAGCACCTGAGTGCCAGGTGCTTACCAGGTGCCTGTGTGCGTAAATGAAAGTGGAGACGAGAAAGGAGGAGTCGCTGGCCTCCGCTGGGTCTGACTGATGCACATATACAATGATGGGGGGAGAGGTGGACCTCTCAGCCTGTGGGGAGAGGTGGACCAGAGAGACTTCCCATAAAGAGACCTGAGCTGGATCTCAGTGACTAAGGAATGTCCCCGGTGGCGAAGTGAGGAAGGGCGTTCCTGGCAGAGGGAACAGCAGAAGCCAAGGCCACGTAGGTGGTGCAAGGTGGATGCTGTGCCCTGATGGGAGGCAAAGTCCCTAACCAGGATTCAACCCTCCTGTTCTGGCAGGCCAGGCCACCAGCCAGGCCACCCTCATCTCCTCCTCGAACCCCAGCAGCAGCCTCTTCACTGAGCTTTGTACTGGACTCCAGTCTCGCTCCTTCCAGAGCCGTCCACCTCCCTTGGAGCCACAGGGATACTCCTAAGGCAAATCTGATCGTATCACCCTCTGCATACACCCTACCTTGGCTACCTAGTGACCTCGGACTAGAGACCAAACTTTCCACGGCCCTTAAGTTCTGTCCTCTCTTGTATCCAGTCGAATCTGCAATGCTGTTTCCATCATCCCCAGAGTGTGTGTCTAGCTTCCTTCCCTTTCTGTGTGCTGTTCCTTCTGCCTGAGAGTCCCTTTCCCAATTCCATTCTCCATCTATCAAACTCCTACTTACCCTACAAAACCCATCCTGCCAAAGATCTCCTCATTCACAGCACCTTGTCTGACCTTTCAGCCTGAGAGGTGCCTGGGAAGGGAGTCTCGGGCCAGCAGTGGTTTCCTAGAGGAGGACAGGCTCTCTTCCCCCTTCCTCAGTGACCTCCGCTCCCTCCCGTGATGACAGACCAGCCTGCTGTCCACCCAGCTGGGACCTGGACACGGGTTTTGCCAGCTCTGCTCTGTGTAATTGCCCTCTGTAGCTATTTTCAGCCTCCCTGTGCTCGGTCGAGGCAAAGATGCACTCAGAAGTGAAGTCCCAAATTAGGTTGCTTGGAATTCCAACCCAGCACAGTGAACAGATCCCAAACAATGTTAATTATGTTTCCCGTGGCCAGTGTACACAGAGACCGATCGATCCACCCCGCGCTGCCAATTATGGAGGCGCTGCAGCACCAAGACTCCCGGGGCGGGGGCAGGGAGGCTTGGGCACCAGTGGTGGGAGGGCCTCCAGGGACTTCCTGCAAAGCTTCGCATAGACCCACCAGCCTGCCTTTGAGGCGTGGCACCCGCAGGCTCAAGCCGGACAGAGCTGGGCACTCAGACACAGAGAACAGGCGGCCATGAGAACCTTTCACGTGGAAGGAAGCACATGGCCTGATTCTGTGGGTGCTGTGCTACATAAGCACTAGAGTCAGAGGTGTGTGTGTGTGCACGTATGTGCAGAAGACATAACCTCAGGTGCACGTGTGTAAGTGTGTGCAGGGGCATGCCTAGAGGGATGTACGTTTAAAGGCATGAGCGTATATGTGCATGTCTGAGAGCTGGTGTCCTTGTGAGAGGGGGTGGGTGTAGGTGTGGACCCAACTGAGCGTGTGAATGTGTGTGAAAATAAAAGTGTGCCCGCGGATGTGGGAGGCAGTGAGACAGTGAGCATGAGGGTGACAACATCCCTGAGGCGGTGTGTTTGTGGGTGGGAGGGTGGGCTAAGTGCAGGAGCACATGTGTACAACTGAAGAGGCGAGTGTGAACAAAGGCAGTGTGTGGCTCAGGACGTGTATGACAGGCGTAGGCAGGAGGGTGATCGGTACTGTGCGCAGGTGGTGGTGAGAGTGGGCATGTTGGTGAGAGGTGTGTGAAGGTGCGTGGGAACACTGATCGACCGTACTCTTAGGCATTGATCTTCCCTGCCCCTTCCTGATGAGGGACCCTGCTTCCTGGTGTCCTTCAGGGCCATGTAACTTGCTCTGGACAATAAAGCACCAAATTTAGAGGGTTGGCGTAGAAGGCAAAGTGCGAGGTGCCTGGGAAAGTGCCTGAAAAGCATAAAGCAAAGGCAGGCAAAATTTCTCGATAAAGGGCCAATGACTCTAAGCATTGTGGGCCATGAGGTTTCTGTTGTTTGCTGTAGCACAAAAAGAGCCACAGACTGTACATAAATGAATGGCCATGGCTGTGTTCCAATAAAACTTTATCTGTTGGGCTGTGGTTTGCCAACTCCTGATTTAAAGTAACATGCAGATACCAAGCCCTCCTTAGCATTCCTGACCTATCCTCTTTTCTTAACTCTCCCCACTTTCTTTATCTCCATAGCCCACCGGAAAACAATGTCCTTTCTGGGCACCCGTTTTAGAGATGAGGAAACTAGGACATTAAAAGGGGAAGACACACTTATTATATAAAAAACATAAATAAGTAAATAAATAAATAGAAACACACAAGTGGGTATTTTTTTTTACTACTTATTGAAGGTATGAATGGGCCTTGGAGATACAATCTACAGATAATACTCATGCCCCAAACTGTTGATCCCATACCCATGGCAGACATCACTAATCAACCCCAGAATGCTTTTCCGTGAAGCATTGATTTGGGTTCTAAATTCTCAAGTCAGCATCCCTCACAGCCACCTCCAATCAATGTAGACTCATAAGAGGAAGTGGGGTTTAGCTCATCCTACTTATTTTGTGGATGAGGAAATGGAAGCAAAAGGTCTCCTGAGGGGTCTATGTGGCCCAGCTGGTGCCCTCTGGCTGCCTGCTCCGCCCAGCCTCTCCAGAAGCTTCGGGGAAGGCCTCATCCAGCTGGGCAGGAGGGGGTGCCAGGGAGGAGCACAGCTGGGCAGCTGGCACGGGCTCATCTCAGCCCTTCCCAGCCCATCCAGGCTGTGATCGCCACTCTGGCGACGTCCCTTCTGCTCTCCGCACGCCTGCTCCCCACAGCTGCTCTTTTGAAAGCCCTGCATGGGAAGCTGTTGATGCATCTCTCTGTTCCCTTTTCAGACTATTGTCCTCTCATCGGCGCCAGCCGTGTTCTTCTCTTGGCCACTTAATTAACAGTATTATTAGTGCTGAGAGGAAAGAGTCACTCTGATCCTTTCTCATAGCAACTCGCACTTGGGAGTTTGAGCCACAGGCAGACAGGAAGCAGAGGCTGGTGCCAGGAGAGGCCCCCCTCCCCACCTCCAGGGCCCTTTACTTGCCAGTGCTCAGCTGGACTGCTTGGCCCCACCTCCCCAGGACAGCTAGTGAGGGCCTGGGAGAAGGGTCAGTGGGGGAGACGGCTTGCAACACACCTGTCTGGAAGCACCCCAGCCGGAGTGATAAACCCCATTCTGAGCTATGGGTGCAGGTTAAGTCTTTGCAGAGAAATGTTAGGGCTTAGCCCTTGGATGGTCTCAGAGCCCAACAGTGTCCTGACCACCTCTGTGCAGAGAAGGAGCAGAAGTAGAAGAAAAACATGCCCAGCAGCTGTGTGACATTGGGCCAACCCACTACCATCTCTGTGCTCAATTTCTTCTGTGCAGAAAGTGTTTATGATGCATGTGCTCCAGGGCTAAGCCACCCACGTATACCATCTCACCTATGGTTTGCTCTGGTAATCTCCTGCTACATAATGGATCACCTTAAAACTTAGTGCCTTAAAGCAATAACAAGCATTTAGTCTGCCTGAGAGTCTGGAATTTTTGTGGGACTCAGCACGGATATCTCATCTGCTTCCCACAGCATCAGCAGAGGCAGAAAAACTATGGAAAAGAGGATCAACTTCAAAAATAGTTCATTCACATGGCTGGCAGGGTGGTCCTGGCTGTTGACTAGGGGCTCAGCTGGGTTATATATGGAGGGTCTCCATTCATCTCCACAGGCTGCTTGAGCTTCCTCACAATATGGTGGCCAGGTTCCAACAATGAGCATCCCAAGAGAACCATGCACAAATGCATGGCATTTTTGTGACCTAGTCTCAGAAGTCAAAGCATTACCTCCGCTGTACTCTGCCAGCTGAGGCCATCACAAATGCCACCCAGGTTCAAGGTGGGGGGACTCCACCTCTTGATAAGGATGTGGTGAGGTTTTACAAGGATGTGAGGCATGGGAAATACTGTGACCGTCTTTGGAAAACAGTCTGTCACATTCTTCAAAAAACGGTGAGGTAGGTACAATGATTATTCTCATTTCACAGAAGAAATGAGGTTCAGAGAAATTAAGTAATTTTCCAAAGTCACCCAGCTAAGTGGCTGAGCAGAGATTTAAACATATACAGTCTGACTTCAAAACTTACAGTTTTCAAACATTTTATTTTTCTTTTCAGCTACAGAATATTTCTTCCTCATAAAAGCTTCCAGAGGAGTTCTGTGGAAGACAGGTGGAAGAAAACAGAGTGAATCAGTTTGCTGTGGCCCCCACACTTTCAGGAACTTAGGATTCCAAGAAATGGTTTGAGAATCTGCAGGGACGCTGCTCCCCAAGTCCCACCCAGGCAGCAGGACAGCCTGCTCCGTCACCCAGCTGGCCTGCCTGCGCTCGACCTTCCGCCCCACTGTCTCGTCTTGTGAGCCTCCTGAATCACTGAGCCTCCTCCACATGAATCCTAGCAGCCCCAGTTGCTTCTCCTTGCCCCCAACTCCCATCCCATCTCCCAGGTCTTCTTGGAGGTGATGTTTAAAACAAACAGCAGCCAGCCACGTAAGGGAAGTTGGAGGATGCATGGTCTGAATAGAGGGGTCAGCGAGCACGGAAGCCTGAAGGGCAGAGTAACTGGGCCACAGAGCATGAGCCAGAAGCAGCGTGAGCTCAGACTGGCGGGAAGGGCAGGGGCAGAGACTGAGGGGCTGGGGGGACAATGGGGTGCAGAAACGTAGAAGGGCTTTGCACAGGGAAGAGCCATGATTGCATCTGGCCTTTGGGAAGGGGCCTCTGGCCATGGTATGGACCAGGGCTTGGGAGGAGGTGCTGCACTGAAGGGGGTCTGGCCATCCTAGGGCTGGAGGGTGGGGGCAGCACCATCAGCCCTCGAGGCCCAGTGGAGGTGGAAGGGCAGCTGGGACTCGGGCTGGGAACAGAGTGGATGATCGGTTCTGGAGGGGGCCACCATTCCTGCTTCCAGGAAACCCCCAACAAGACAGCTCCCGGGACAGACAAGCCTGCGATGTGAGGACGAGTGAGTGACTCACCGGTGCCCCGCCCCAGGCTGCCAGTTAGGCTGCCTCAGCGTCAGCCCGTCAGCCCGAGGCCTCTGGGGCTGCTGCACGTCACTTCCCGGGAGGCCTGAGGTGTTCCTTACGCGGTGGCTTTGACATGAATATGTTTTAACTATAAAAAGAGCGGTTTAAAAATAGCCACCTTGTCACAAGGTGTAGGGAAAAAAGACACCCCCTCCCCACCCACAGGAATGAGGTGGAAAGTCACTGCCTCTCAGAGCTACATGGGTCAACACCCACCCCTCTCCCCACCACTCCGAGCTGGCAACTTTGTGGAGGTTGGCTGACACCCCTCCCCGAGCTCCACAGTCTCCTGCTTTAGGCAAATCATCTCGGGGATCAGTGACGTCTGCCAGCTTCATTCTCCCTCCGCTCAGGGTTCAGCAAGGGTAAGGCAAACACGCCTCCATCAAGAAGCCAGCTGGTGATGCAGGAATGCCCGTGGGGGTATTGCTCACAGCCTGGCTCTGGGCACAAACGCACCTGGGTTCAAATCCGCCCCCCTCCCTCCCTGGCTGGATGATCTTGAGCAAGTGACTTAACCTTTCTAGGCCTCAGTTTCCACATCTGTAAAATGGGGTTCAAAACACAGGGAGACCAGAGAGGCACTGGGGGACCTGCATCAGGAAGGCTGGAGCTGGAATCCCCCATGTCTGACATGCAAGCCCAACAAGTGTCCATGTCCCATCAAAACGAGAAAGAGCACCGTCCATGGGGACAGTCTGGGCACCTTCAAGCTGCTTGATTAATGTTCCATTTAGTGCGATAAACAATACAATTACTCAACTCCTGCGAACTCCACTCTGAACGGGGCGGGCAGGCAGGGTGAGTGGGCAGGACGGGCCTTCTGAGGCAGCCCTGTTATTAATTACAGCCACTTAAGCACAGTCTGGAAACCTATGTCACACCTTCTCAGCTGCTGAGAGGGGGAGAGGTGGGCAAAGATGGGGTCTCATGGGTCTTCATTATGGCGTCCAGCAATGTGGGCACAGCCACAGAGACTTAGGGAAGAAAATCCCCCTTTCTCCCTCACTGTCATTGCCTGTTCTCAGCCACAATAAATCCATGTAACAAAATAATAACATAACTTCAGTGGCATCCAGTGCCAAGCATTTATTGCTCAACATCTAGAGGGGTTGGGCGGGTGACTCGGCCACTCGTGGCTGGATTCACTCTCGTGTCTGGGATTGGCTGGCTGTTGGCCGATCTGGGCTGGCCTCGGTAGCACCACTGTGTTCCCTGTGCCTCCCGTCTTCCAACAGGCTAGCCCAGGCTTATTCTCATGGCATGTGGCAGGGGTCTGAGAAGAGTAGAAACTGCAAACCCTCCTTAAAGGCCAGCTTAGAACTGCCGTAATGCCATTTCTACGACATTCTATTGGCTAATAAGTCACATGACCAAGCCTGGCTTCAAGGGGTGGGAAATGAACTCGAAGTCTAGAAGGAAAGAATGCAAAGCTATCTCATAAAGAAGCACAGATAGGGAAGGAGGTGGGGGAGGAGGAATTGCGGGCTTTCTCGTGCAGTTCAAACCCCACCAGCCCCCTGTAGAGAATTTACAGGCACCAGTTTTGGAACAGTGTAGGCATTCTGGCTCTGCCATTTGCCCATTGTGTGCCCTAGAGTGAGTCCCTTGACCCCTCCGTACCTTCACTTCCTCATCTGTAATACAGGGGTAATATTAATCATTACCAAGGGATGCAATAAAATAATTCCGACAAGAGGCTTAGCTCAGTGACTGGCACAGCATCGAGTTCTTGGGAAATGGAGATGATTATGGTTATTAATATCTGTAAATAAGAATATTAATACCCATCTAGAGAGCAACTCTGAGGAACAATGAGGGTAATGAACCTTGGAACCAGGAAAGGCTTGCATTTATCAACACTGTTTTAGTCTTAGGAGACAGAAACACAAGCCCAATCAGCTTAAGCAAAATAGGAGGTATACCTGGTGCTCTTGTCACCAGAAATCTGGTGAGGAGGACAGGTGTGAGACAGACCTCCAGGATGCCAACCTCACCTGGACATTTCCTTTGTCTTCATCTGCTTCTCTCTTTACTGCACCTTCTTTGTCTCAGACCAGCCTCTTCCCAGAGCGCGGGACACGGTCAGCTCAGGGCTCACCTCTTCCTCCAGCCCAAGAGCAGAAATCCCAGGGAAGGGATCTGATTGGCCCAGTGTGGCTCACATGCTCATCTTTAAGCCAATCACTTGCAGTCAGAGGGTGAGCTATTTGACGGGCAGCCCCCATCAGAAGTACATGTTTAGAAGAAGAGGCATATGCCTGGAAGGAGAGGGGTAAAGCCCGAGGGCCTGCTTCAGCTCTGCCCACTACTCTCCAGGTCTGCCTGCCCCACGTGACAGACAGAGAACCCCCAAGTCTCAGCAAAGTCAAGAGGCTCGCTCAAGTCCCACCACAAGAAAATAAAACCTCACTCCTGACGCTATGGGCCACCGTGTCTCTCAGAGGGAGGAGTCCCTCAAGCTCAGGCAGCCCTGCCCAGCACACCCACCCAGCCGGGCTGAATTCTCCTGCGTCTTGGTCCCTGCCCATGTGTCCCTGGCGCACGCACAGGATGAGCCGCGGCATCTGGTTGCTCATTCCTGGACTGGTCGCCGCCGCCAGTGCTGCTGGCCCGTTCTGCCGAGTCTTGGAGTTGTCAAACATCTTGGAAACGATCGCCCACATATTTTAGGTCCAGCCAAGGCAGCCTGCCTTCGTCCAGCATCATTTGCTGCATATTCCAGAAGAAATTGGATCCATATGGAACGAATTCCTCCACATTCATCTCACACGGGCCAGACTTTGGCACAAAAGGGCTGAAGGCTGTGGTATGGCTTCTCCTCCTTCCCTGGGGACAGAGCACAGCCCCCAGTTCCAAGGGGATGACAAGCCCTGCAGAAGGTGGGGCTGGTGCCTTCAAGGTCTACGACCCATAGGGTCAGAGCAGGACGAAGGCTGGGGACAAGAGAAACCTGCCAGCTCCGTGCCCGGGGCGTGGGGAAAGGCTGGGGTACAGCCTCTGCCACCTGCTGCCTGGAAGCAAACACCGTGGGGACCAGAGCTCAGCACTCAGGGGCCGGGACACCCAGCTGCCCGGCCCCACTCCCGTTCTAAAGCTCGGTGGCCACGGGAAAGCCTGAGTTTCTTCATCTGAAAAATGGGGATAAAAATGGAGCCAGTCCCACTAGACAGTGGTTCATAATAATGCGATAAAGAATACAATAATAAATGTTAGTGGGTAGAGTTATTTGCGCTGTTACCACCACTATAGCCACCATCATCGGCCAGCGCCACCACCACCAACATCGTTAAGTCAGCAGCAGCAGCAGCATTATTATCCCCATATCGTCATCGTCAGCGTCAGCATCCTCATCACCATTCGGTGAAGCCCAGGTGTTAAGCTAGCACCGACGTCCTCATCCCCAACACCGCTGGCCTCCTCAGGTTCACTACCGTTTTTAACCTGGATCCCAGTAGAATCTCTTAACTATCGACCTGCCTCAAGGGTCACTCCTGCCAAACCCCCTGCTCCTGCTCAATGTCCTTCCATGACTCCCATCGCCCATCAAATAAGCCCCACACCCTTTCTTACGGCACCGGGGTTCCTCCCTCTCAGGTCCCTTCCACTTTATCACCGACAACGTACAGTCTTCGTCACATCAGATGGGTTCCCTCCCTCCCAAATACGTCATGCCTCCCCGTGCCTCCAGGAATGTGCACCAACTGCTCCTCCACCCAGAATGTTCCTCCCTGTTCCCTGTCAAGCTCCAAAAGACCCTCTTGGGCTCAGCTCAAATGGCTCCTTCCTGACAAAACTGTCCCTCAGTTCAGCAGGACAGCATTGCCCGCAGAGGGAGGGCTCTGTGCTTGTTGGTCAAGAAAAGGAAATGAGCAAGAGCTGAGAGAGGTGTTAAAGGTGCCTTAGTACCGCGAGGAGTCTCTCCCTGAGGTCGTGAGAGGGGTCGGAAGGAAGCAGCTGGCTCACTAGGGGGGATTGTGCCCCACCCTGCAAGACACACTGGCAGGAATGATGTGCCAGGCAGGGTGCTTCGTGCAGGAGTGTGCCTCCCCCACCAGCCTCTCTGAGCAGAGCCAGCCCTGCACTTCCAAGGGGCCTGCCTTTTCCTGGCTGAAGTTGCATCATTTATCCTTCTCTAAAGCAGACATTCCTAGTTCAGATCCTGACTCCACCCTTTCCGGTCTGTTTCAGGACTTAGTTTCCTCAACCACACAATGGTTGGTTGTACTGAAGGACCTCAGGTAACCCTTCCTGTCCCAAGCAAGGACACACAGGCTGTGGACCTGGCAGACCCACCCACCCACCCTTCACGTGAGACTGGGAGCAACTCTGCAGCTTTGCGGGAAGCTTCTCCCCTGGCTCTGCTCCCTGGGGGCTCGCTTTGAGCCTCAGCAGGGGAATGCCCTCTCCCCTCTCCCCTGCACAGGGCTCTTGTGCAGCCTGAATGGTGCTCCCTGAGCACAAAGACTGGCTCAGGGGACGCCTCGGCCAACACAAGCTGTGTAGGGCTCGTGGCCCTGCTGACTCTGCTCCAAGGGTCCAGTTGCCTGGGGCAGAAGAAGTGGCTGGAGAGGGAACATAGCCAGGCTAGGAGCCTGGAGGGACCACACCAAGGCCCACCAGCAGCCCTGACACTCCTTTAAAGCTATAGCCTGCGTGACAGAGCATTTGGTTGGAACCTTTAAAAAAAAAACAGATCTCAGAAACAACGCAAGTGACACCAGGAAATGAGCTGCAAATGGTGCCTGACTCCCAGAAGGGTGACCCCCCCAGCCCAGCTGACCCACTGTGCCCCTTAGGAGGGTGTCCCAGGGGAGCCAGCCAAGCAGGAGGACCCAGCCATTTTCCAGAGCAGAGGAAAGGAGGGAGGGGGCAGAGTTGCCTGTTACCTGCCAGCTGAGCCATGACGGCCTCAGGCCACCCCAGCTACTCACCTGCTGGGTGTCAGGTGCTGTTCTGGGGATGCCATGAGGATTCGGTCTGATCCCTCTGGTCCAGGAAAGTGGCAGAAGCTCCAAAACTACAGTGCCTTATAAGACAGCTCTAAGTGAGGTTTGTCTGTCTCACTGGCTCACCTCCTACTGTCCTTTCTGCTCACCTTCCACATTAGCCACACTAGCCTTCTTGCTGTTCTTTGCAGACATTAAGCTCTTCCTGCCTCAAGGCCTTTGTACTTCCCAGTGTCTGTGACTGCAAGACACTTTCTAACTTCACCTCTTCCAGAGAACTTCTCTGATCACCCATTACATAGTAATGCAGACCCATTGTTCTTTGTTAGAGGACTTAGTTCACATCCTTCATAATTGTTTACATAATTAGTGACCATGTGTTGGCTTGTGTTTGCTTGTTAAGTGGTGGAACTGGGTTCATTTATTCATCTGTGTTTCACCAGGACATAGTGGCCTGCTTGGAACATAAAGGTACTCAAATATTTGTGGGATCGAGAAATGGAATGTTCTTTACTTAGAGATTGAAGAAACAAAGAAAAGGCCGATTGAGCAGGGCTCTGAAGGATGAGTAGGAGTTGGCCAGGTGGGGGAAAAAGAGGTAATGGAGGCAGAAAGAGCAAAGAGATGTAAGCATACAGGCCTGTTTAGTGCGGCCAGTTGGTTCAGGGCCCACGGGTGGGCTTCTGGTGGCCTGGTCTTAAACCCTGTCCCCTATTCACAATGAATCTGGGGGAGTCAATTCAGTTTTCTGAGCTCAGTTTCCTCATCTCTAAGATGGCACGGTTGGATGGGGACTTGGCGTGAAGATGCACAGGCTTGGCAGTCTGCTGTCCTCACAGTCAGCTGGATAAACAAAGGAGCTGATATTTTCATGCAAAGACTTGGCTGAGGAAGAGAGGGAGAGAGAAGGAAAGAGGAGAAAGAGGAAGGAAGTGGAGAGGCGGAGAGAGAGAGGGAGAAAGAGAGAAAATCTGACACATCTAGGCCATGAGGCAGGGCTGTCAGGGACTCCTTCGCTCTGTGCCGAGAGCCAAGTTCCAAGGAGAAGTCTTGGCTGGGGGCCTGGCCTAAGAATTGACAGGTGGAGGATGGGATTTGGAGTCACCTGACCTCTGAGTGTCTCCTCTGGGGCCGCTGGCTCAAACCTCCCTCTTTGCCTCTACCTCCCCCCTGCAGGGTTCTAGGCCCCAGCAGTTTTCCCCTGAAGCCCTTTCTAACTGCTAAGCGTTTGCCTAGGCTGTGTTCTCTTCCTGAAATGCCCTTTCTCTAGCTCCTAGAACTCAGCAAACACACAGCCTGTCTCCAACAGCACCTCAGTCAGATGCTGTCACTAAATGTCCCACCCTCTGGCCACTTATCAACGGAAGCTCAGAGTTGTGGCTTCTGGTCTCAGGGTCTGGAAGTTTCTGGACAGTGTATCTGGGCTTGGAAGAGAAGGGCCTGTCCACCAGATTGGGAGTTTCTCAAGGACTGAGACCGGATCAGTCTTCCCTGGCACACAGTAAAACAGCTAGCATTTGTTGAATGAGTACATCAGCAAGTGTTGGACTGTAAGAGGCAGGAAAATGACTGGCCTCCGTAAGCTCAATCCCGTTTCTGTTCCTTACCAGCATCCCATCCCCATAAAGCAAATTGACTCCAGTCCCAACATGGGGACACTGAGGCCCAGGGAGGCTCTGGTTTGGGCATACATGACTTCCTTTGGGCCCCTGCCTCTCCCTCTGGGCCTCAGGTTCTTCAACTATAAAGGAAGCAGTGCCCCCGGAACAGTGCCAGCTTCATCAGCATGCACCCTGTACAGCCCATAGGACCGGACAGCACAGGACCCCGCGCCTGGTTCCATGTTTTGCTGTCACTGTCTTAAAATTCTTAATAGTTTTATCTTTGAATTTGTGTTTTGTAAGCCAAGGCCATGGGACAATGGGCACACGTGTGAGCTGATGAGATACGAGCAGTGTGGCGTGTCCACTGCTATTTCTTGCTGCCTGGTTCCCATATCACCTTCTGGATGGCCCATGAGCACAAACTCATGGCCCTGCTAGGCTTGGAAGTTCAGTGAGATGCAAATAAAAACAAGGTTCTGCTCTAAGATTGAGAAAGTGGGGGTGCTGCCAGTCCCCAGAGACCCCCCTTTCCACCTGAACCTACTTCAAATGCAGAAAGAAGGCCCTCTAAGAAAACGTGGACAACCGAGGCACTCTATGGAATCCTTTCTGATTCATGTTTACTGATGCTGGAAATGATGACAGAAGAAAAGGAAGTGGAGTCACCCCTAATCCCTCTTCCTTTCAATCTTGGCTCATTCATCAGTAAGTCGAAGGTAGAGCGTTGGGAAAATGTGCATGTCTCAAGAAGTGAGATAAAAACAG